TTCTTAGTTCCAAACCACCTGCTCCAGACAGAGACACCTTCCACCAGACCAGGTTGCTCAAAGCCCCGTCCAGCCTGGCCTTGAACACTGACAGGGATGAGGCAGCCACAACTTCTCTGGGCAACCTGTGCCAGTGCCTCACCACCCTCACAGGGAAGAATTTCTTCTCAATATCTAATCTAAATCTAGCCTCTTCTAGTTTAAAGCCTTCAAATTTTGTCCTGTCACTACATGGTCTTGCAAAAATCCCTCTCCAGGTTTCTTGTAGGGTCCCTTTAGGTACTGGAAGGCTGCTATAAGGTCTCCCCAGAGCCTTCTCCAGGCTGAATAACCCCAAAGTACATGCAAGTGAGCAAAAGGAACAATCCTTCTACAAATATAATCCTTTACAGATACCTACTGTATCTTCATGTAAACCCAATTCATGACTCCTGAAGTACAAATCACACTCATACAGTTGATAGAGCTCCTGAAATGTACACTCGGGGCTTTTTTTTCCCCTCTAGTCTGACTTTGAATATAAACCTAAGTTGTGTAATGATAAACATTGTTTTTATTCATATAAGTATTTCTTTCTCCTTTCAGTCTGTCTAAACTGTTTATTTTATTAATACAGTGCAGGAGCACCCATACAGTGCAGTAGCAAATGCACAGCATACTCAATATTTCCCTGCCTCTTCAGGCCTGCTGTGCAAAACCAGCTATTTTAAAAAGCTTACTCAATATATTTACTACTTTAGGCTGTCTGTTCATAACCTAGATTGTGAAAAATTAGGCAAGAAACTACAACAGTAAAGCTAAGCTATTTGAAAGTCACATATTAAAAGTCAATGGTGTCACAAGTATTTCACAAAATGTCATTTAAGAAACATAGATGCATTATTTCTATCATATGAACTGTATACAATGAACCACCACAAAGCAATCACTGTGGAGGCTTGGATAAAGGGGAACACACAAAACCAGTTTACTTTGGTAAGTCTTCTGAATTTTATGAATTGCATTTCTGGCTACATTGGTTTTATTTTTCAGAACGTAGTGACCGAGGAAGAAGAAAAAGTATTTTCATAATAGGAAAATATGGCCAAATATGGGCTGGCCAAGAACAGAGCCAATTACTCACCTTAAGCAGCTTGAGTCCTTTGAGCCTTGCTGCCATCCACGCATTCTCAGAAGCTTAAAAGCTTTTCAGCTAGCAGGACCCATATAACACCCATGAGCCATAACTCGGCAAGAGGCTTAGTACTTTGTATTAAAGTATATGCCATGGTGGCACCCTCTCTCTCAGGAGCAGGAACTATCCCACTAAACTTTTAAGTACACAGAGTTCACCCAACCCTAAAATGTGATATGTCAAAACAATTGAGTGATGCATCTTGACTGCCAAGGCACCACAGACCAGCAAAAAAAAAACAAACCCACCCAACCCCAAAGAAGACTACAACACCTAGCATCCAGGACATAAACTTTTAATCATAAACAATTCATTGTCATGGCATTATAGGCCCAGAAGCAAAGGGAAGGAAAGGATTTGAGATATTCAAGTGTCAGCTGAGTGACACAAGAAGTGCAGGTAACAGAACTAATCAAGTCTACAGAAACAGGCCTTCTAATAATCAAGCTGATCTCATTCTAAGGTAAACTTCTAAAATAGGTCAAATGAACTGATATTGTTGCTTACTCATAGCAACCTGAGTGAGATCTGCAATGTATTTACTCTCTCAACCTTTCCCCAAGGAATGGTGGACCATTTCCCCAAAGGAATATTGCAGTGGACAGGTTTTGGGTGGATCAAAAAGAATGCCTCTGCTCTCTGAAGCCTCAAACTGCATCTACATAACAAATAATTGTATTGTTTCTTTTTTCTTTTTCCTGTTTCTAACTAGTGACTCGGGGCAGATCTGCACAAAGCTCAGACAGACACAGTGCAGAAAAACATAAAAATAGCCATATCAGTCAAACAAATATAACATCTCCAACAAATGATAATGGATACTGAAGGGTTTAAGAGGATAAACAAACATAAGTAACTCCAGAAAATGCTCTCCCAGCATAGCACAGTCTGTACCTCAACTTCCTGAAAAGTAGGCTACGCCTTTGTATGTAACAGTGCTTGAAGCATTTTTATTCTTTTGCTTTATTCAGTTGTCATAGAATCCATGTACATTGTTATCATCCAGAACCTCCCAGAAAAAGGAGCACAAAAATAACAGACACACAAAAGTTTACACAACTCTTGATGCATCAACTGAGAGACAGAACATGTTAACACCATTCACAACACAAGGAAAACAAAGCAATTCTACCTCCAGAAAGGAGCTAGTAATTCCACACGGCACTGTACTACTCTGCAGAGACATGACAACTCTGGCTAGCAGAAGCTGGGTGGCTGGATCTCAGTTTCCTCATCTAGATATGCTTATCCAAAATATTTTGCCTTTTCTTTCTTTCTTTTTCTTTTTTTCTTCTAAGCAGCTTTTGGGTTTGCCAGTTTCAGATTCCACAGTAATTTATTTTAAATTTGCAACAATTGCATGGCTTTTATGTAGTCTGAATTAAAAGCGTTACGATCTTCAGGAAAAGTACAGTGCCTTGATATTAAATATGATCTGACTGTTGAGCCTTACATAAACCAACAGAAGCTTTGGGATTTGGTCTGACAGTGAATCTGCAAGGCGCTAAGCAAAAAAAACCAAACAGTATTAACCATGGAAACTGTAATAACTTGCATGGGAAAAGCAGTTTAGCTTAGTAACTTTAAAGAATGGTAACATCAGAGAAGGAGCTACAGAAAGAGACAAGGGAAAACAAAGCTTCATTCTAGATCAATCTCATTCAATTTACAATGTTTTACAATAACTCCTTCCACTAATTCACATCTGGGAGCACAAGAAAGTAAAAGCTGTCTGTCTGGATCAAATTGACGGTTTCTCTAGTCAAGTATATGACTACAGTTGTAGCAACAACAGATGCCTACAAAAAAGTATAACCACAGGGCAACCATAAAGACTTCTCCAGTGGGTTTCCCAGACTTCAGTGTCTTGGAGCTCAAGAACTTTCAGACAAGCAGCAGTGTCTGTCTGACACACTCCATGGGTTTTTCTTCTATCAACTTTCTAATAAATTTTCAGACTGATCAAACCCTCTGGCAGAGTGTTCAAACTGTAGTCATATAATAGGAAGAACAAACCCTTTCTAACCTTTATGAACTTGCTATCAGACAGGTTTGATGCCCCAGTTCACACACAGAAAAGGAGAGTAAAATAAATAAATAGATTCCTATTAGTCTTTTCTGTTCCATTCATGATTGTACAGAGCACAGAACAGGACATATTTCACATCAGTTGTGCCTGAGAATCAAGTCGAAGTCCACCTTAACTGGAAGATGCCCAATGCTCTTTGTTACTCTTGTTACCTCCTCTGGATCTTTTCCAGTAGTATTTGATCTCCTAGAGATGTGGGAACCAGAACCCCTTACATCATTCAAGATTCAGCCCAATACAGTTTCATTATATGACATTAAGATGCTTTTGCTTTGCTCCCTATCCTCTTTCTAATCATTCCTAAATTCCTTTTATTTGACTAGTACTTAACAGTGAACATAGATTTTCATTGATCTGTAATTCCAAGTAATAGCTAGTCCCATCTGACACGAAATATGTAAAGTTTGCTTTATTTTTCTTCTTCATTTGCTCTTTAGTATTACTTTCTCTGAGTTTTACATTCCACTCTATGATTCAGTACCTCAACATTGCAGAGTCCTTTGAACATCTTTGCAGCCTGCTCTCAATTTTTATTTTAACTCAACTCTCTGGTAATATTATATGTCTAACTCCTATTTTAACAAAACACAATTTGAGAAAGAAATACTGAGTAAAAGACAGTTTCATATCTTGTTAATTACAGATTTTAAACGTGACAGTTGAAGTGAAACTCTGCTTCTTTCAGTATTTAGAAATCTGGGTAATTACAAAATAAACCAAACCCTCACACCATTACTAAAATGTTGCATATACATGAAAGCAGCATATCAATCAATAAAGTGCAATACTGAAATGCAGAGCCTCTCACAGCAACAGCTCCTTTTAAAAGGCTTACTTGTTTTTGGCACTGAAAGGGCAGAAACTTGAAGTACACAATGAAAAAGAACCAGAATTGAGGGTTGAGGACTAAAATCCTGACAGTAAAAAAACTGAATAAATAAATAAATGATTAAATAAATAAATTAGTGATGCACTAACACAGGCATCTGGAGAGTTTCCATTTATGTATCAACTGACTTCCATGTCTAAACAGAAAATCTAATATTATTTCAACTGTTACTATGGAACAGAAGAAAAGTCACAAGAGATCAAATAATTAGAAACTCTAGCAACACACTGTTTCCTCAATGTTATGAGGGCTATTATATGGAAGATGGCTGGTATTAGGCTAGTAGACCTCCTCCAGTACAGGCAACTAACTCTGAACTCAATAAACAGGCATAACTGCCTTAATTTAAACACTGTATTCCAAAAGGAAGTGAAACTTAGCATCTTGAATACACAGGTATTGAATAACCATGCTTTCATAGCCATGGCTATTCTCTTGTCTTTGCTTAGCTCCCAATGGTGTTTACCTCCAAGCTCTACCAAGTGGACTGTTAAGAGCATAAGAGCTTTTCCTAAACTTACAGATCACAAACTGCACAATGGAACAAGTAGCTTCTTTTGGTTCTGTATATCCACCCCATCCCATTCCTTCCTGAAAACGAACAAACAAACAAAAAAAAGCCCAACATAAAGCAAGGACATCTGTAGACCATATTACTCGCCTGAGCAGCTTTTTCAGTGTGTTACAAAACCATGGCAGTGCAGGTAAGAGAACTTCATGTTCTAACAGAAGTGCTCTATCTTCCCATTTCTATCTTTCCCATTTCCCATTTCACAATTACAGATAAGCCACTGACATAATGAACACTTCCCATGACTCAATTTACATACCAATACATGCAAACATACCTTTTCACCAGGAAAACCAGGAACACCATCCTGTCCTTTTACTCCCATTTCACCCTACAAAACAAATCATTCAGTTAGAAGTTCTAAAGACTTCTGAGATTAACAACTACTCAGGTTGTATCTGATTCAACAGAAAAGCATCTTCTATTCTGCTACCCTGCTTTTGTCATGCTTAGTAATAAAACCACTGTTGAGGAGGATGCTTTACATGTAACAATAAAATCAGACAAAATAAATACATTTTAAAACACCTGTAATGTCAATTAAGATCCTCATGTGACAAATATTTACCCATGCACATTTCCACAGAAAGCAGGTCTACTGATTTTAAGGGAATTTACTGTGACAGCATAGTTAAGCCAAGTGGCTCCATTTTCACCTTACTGAGTGTGTTTTATACTGAGAAAGCTCAACATATAATACAGGTTTGTTTTGTCTAAATGTAATTTTTAAAAGACACTCTCTAAACTCAGCTCCTCTCTCCCTCCCTTTTATCCCCTCAGAGAAACCAAACGTAAGCAATCTATGAGAAAATTTCAGTTTTAAGAGACATGACCAACTGATCTGGAGAGGTATGGAAGACATCAGCAGCTGCAAACTAGACCATGAGTCCTAAAAATTGATGAAGAGAAGATCAAACATAGAATTTTTGCTTAATAATGTCAACTATAAATTTTAAATTTATACTTTTTATATTTAAAATTGATTTTATAGATTTAAAATTAATAAATTGTATATGTTAAAATCAAAATCATGTGGACATTAGAGGTGAAAGCACTGAAACCATATTATAGTCTTCCTTTAAAAACAAAACATTAGGTTTGTCTACTTGCATCAAGACAACAACACTCTCTAGCAAACAGAGCCATAACACATGAGCTAAGTAAATCAATCAAAATGAACTCCTGGGTGCAGAGTACTATTCCAGCCATAAGTCTAAACCACTCAGACACAATGATGTTCTAGAGGAGTGTACCACCCATCTCCTATGTCCTTTTTATTCAAACACTGGAATGGTCCTTAACTCTACCACAAAAGCAGAATGAAATCCTGTGTGTGCACAAACAGCCTGAACTCACTGGCATTATGAGAGATAAAGCAGCAGGACTGGCCCCTGGTTACCTTATCTAATCACCCACAGAGTGACTCTCTTATCTCTGCACACTCTGTTCCCTTATGCCACTTGCCAGTATTTTAATAGACCAGAATCACTTTGTTCCATTCAGCAGTGTTTTTTTGTATACTGTGTAGTCTAAAATTACACAGCCTGCTACATGCCAGGAAGCCTTTACCATATATGACTTACTACCCAATTAACCAAGGTATGTTTACACTTCTTTTCCACTAACTGCAGATAGACTCCCCACCTTGAAGACAATTACTTTCCACTGCAAATTAGATCATAAAATTATGTTTCTATCTTGTAATTGTGACTTTAATAGCCACAGTCTGAAAGGTTTTAGTTTTTCGTGCTTTTATTTCATCTCAGCCTGGAGAAGAGAAGGCTGCTTGGAGACCTCATAGCAACCTTCCAGTATCTGAAGGGGGCCTATAGGGATGATGGGGACAGACTCTTCATTAGGGACTGTAGTGATAGGACAAGCGGCAATGGGTTAAAACTTAAACAGTGGAAGTTTAGATTGGATATAAGGAAGAAATTCTTTAGTGTGAGGGTGGTGAGGCACTGGAATGGGTTGCCCAGGGAAGCTGTGAATGCTCCAACCCTGGCGGTGTTCAAGGCCAGGTTGGACAGAGCCTGGGTGACATGGCTTAGTGTGAGCTGTCCCTGCCCATGGCAGAGGGGTTGGAACTTGATGATCTTAAGGTCCTTTCCAACCTTAACTATTCTGTGATTCTATTCAGTGAGTTTAGAGATCACATGCGGTATGTTGTACAACCTATAACAGTATTCACATTTGCATTTTTAAGGATTTTTTTATGCCTCCCCCCCTTTTGTTTTGTTTCATAGCATTTCCTCTGCTTCTGCAGATCTCAAAGTCCTTCACAAAAGTGAAAAAGTATCCCTTTTTCTATCTTACATAATAGATGTCGAAAGTATAGAAATGAGACGGAAAAAACAAGATTCCTGACCATTCAGCCTCTATCTTCCCCTTAATAAATCTCTTTTACACCTGAACAAGAGTATTCTAACTCCCAACACACACTGCAGTTGAACTTAATAAATTCATGTAAACAAATTAGCAAGAATGGGAATGCAGGATCACATTAACTTGGAACTACCAAAGCAAACAGAAATATATGCTGTCAGACAAAAAAAACTTATGAGCTGCTGAACATTAGCAATTCAAGTGCTGGCATTTATAGGTTATGAAGCACACTCAGTGTAACCACATACAAAGGTAATACCATGAGCTGTAAGCCTACTGTTAGGATTTACTACCAAGAGTACCAATGAAAATCCTTTTCAACCGAGTACAAGGTACTTATAGAATAAAATATTTAAGACATAGCACATTTTCCAGGAGGTGATTTCTTGCAAGCAATAGGATGACTCCTATATTTTTAACAATGTTTATTTTGGTAAGTTCATAAGCAGACTGGGTGGAAATTCTGCAGGCTGAAAAAAAAAACAACCAAAAACATTGCTCCTATCAATTTTCCATAAAGCCAAACTAAATTCTTAAAAAAGAGATTGCAGACAGCAAACATGTTTCCTTCCAGTGATTCCAATCATCCTTTTCTCTGAAGTGGAAACAATTTTGCATATCTGAGACCACCTGCAGTAGTACACTTGCGATCATTTTTTTACATTAATGATTCAGGGAGTTTCAAAAGCACTTGATCTTTACCTCTTTGCACCCTATAGCCTTTACTCAACACACCCGTCCCAGAACTAGAAATTATATGCTAGCAGCAGACAAAATACACAGTACCTTGATTCCTATACCACACCTTGCTATTAGTCATGCTAAGAAGAGATAGCCTAAAGCCAAATGCGGTGATAGAATGACAAAGTGATAATTATTTAAGAAATTACAGTCCTTTCTCATGTAACACCCCCCACCCCCCAAAATTAAGAAAGTATTTTATTTAAAGTATTGTCTCTTAAATTGCAAATCTGTTTAAAATACATGTACTTTGTGATATGGAATGGGATTAACTTGATACAATATTTAATCTAGAAAACAGTCCACAAGGAATTTTGGGAGTAGGAAAATATTCTCAGCAGGGTTCTGTACTAACCAGGTACAGGTAATGATTTTAATACTAAGATAAAAGCAAATGCCCTTAATAAACAGAAAGAATCACATTAACATGGCCTAGAGCACACACTGCTAGAGTACTGCATTACAACATTGCTCTTGCCTACAATGGGGATGTATTAGATCAGATGAGTGACCTACATCAGTTGTCAAAACACGTTTTAACCAAAATCAGTTTGGGTTTTGTAAGTTTTGATTAAGTAAGTTTTCATTAGTTTTCATCTCTGCACAGTTATATGTGCCATAACTAGCATCCACGATGACAGGTAAAAGAAATGTGTCGTATTATCAAGAAAGAAGCAACAGTGCACTCTGAAGAGAGTTGTTCCCAGCAGACAGTGTACTGGCAAGGTTTCTGTAAGTGGTAAAGTGGAAGATGAAAGAGGTGATGTAGAGATTTCATCCTTTATATGAGATCTGTCATCTGAATGATTAATGTCAGAGGCAGTCCCCGTGAGAAATTTTGTCAGTTAAAAATTTAAAAAAAATAGATACGCAGACAGGCAAGCGGTTCTCATGGTTATAAAATGGTGATAGAAGTATTCAGACATGGGGCAAAAAAATCATTAGGAACTTTTAGTTGATGAATACAATAAATCCAATTCAGAGAGTTTGCCAAGAGTGAGAAAGAAAACTCATTCCAAAGGTGGCACTACTCCACAGTTTCCCAGGCACTGGGGGAGAAGCAGGGAGTATATAGCCCAGGAAGTATCCAGTAGAAGCTGCTGGTTGGGTGCTGACCTGGCAGTGCTGGGGCACAGCCTTGATGTGGCCTGAGCTGGGTACCACTGGTTTAACTTCTCCTCTCTAAGTTTAAAAGTCAGTTCACTCTCTCTTCACAATTAAGAAAGTTTCAGTTAAGAGTCGTATCAAAGAATATACAGTGCTGAGGTCAGATGAGTGAATTCAAATCCTCCTATTAACGACTGCAAGGATAAATCCACCACACAGGATTCTCTCCAGCAGCAGTGACATCCACACATAATATGGGAAAATCCTTATCACAGATGACATACACAGCTTCTCTGGTTTTGCTAATGGGAAAAGACAACAGGTCATGCTAACAGGGTTGGGTAGATGTGTGCTTCACAGGCAGGTATACTGTGTTCCATGGAGTTGATGAGGGGACCCCAAAGTGAGACCAGATGTAGGCTGCCCAGCAGAAAGCCCATATGCAAAACCAGAGATTGATAGATACAGAATTTAGCCTGTGTACAGGGATATTCTTTTAGGGAATAACAAAATCCATACTTTCTATTTAAGAAGGATAAGCCAAAGATAAAGACTTGAAAGAGAGAGTCAACTGATATTTTTTTACCTTTTCACCTTTATGTCCTTTGTTGCCTGGCAAACCAGCTACTCCCGGCAATCCTGCTTCTCCCTGATTTGAGAAGAAATAAATTAAAAAAAAAAAAAAAATCATCAAAGCAGCAGATCCAAAATTTGGTTTGGTTTCCTTCTCTTTATCACAAAAGCCTAACAAAGCAAATGACTCAGAATAAATATAGCTCAGGAGAAGGATCTTAAAAAAAAAACAACAGCATTACGTAGGAAATAATTTATTCTCAAGTAAAAACATTTACACTAAATATAGTGCCTGAATATAATTCTAATTTTTACCATGGATCTTTTTTGGGTGTGTATTTGTACACGTAAATCTACAATGTACTGTTCCTTATCTGGGAAATACAGCATAAGTACATTACAACCCTACAAACCTGTAAAGTATTTTTCATAGCTACAAAATCAAAACAAACATTTTTTTTTAATACCTATCAGGATTAAACAGCATGATGCACTAAAAAGCAATAGAAAAACTTTATTTGGAAATAAACATTTCCTTTTACTTTATTTGGAAAGCAGTGGCATCTCTCTCTCGATTCCTGCTGTATCCCTGGAAGCATGTATATTTTGCTGGCATGAACAGTCACTGGTGATGAAGTCGTAGCAAGAAGTCTCTCCTCATGTGAGCACTAAAATAAAAAGAAGATTTTTCTGATTTTTTTGTGCACTTTGGTTAATACAGAAATACCACCTGAGCTCTATTTTTAAGTTACTTTCTGGTTTAATACTCCTGTACACACCATATTACAGAAAAGCCACAACCATTGCCAAACAGAGGAAAAAGCTGTAGTAAAATAAATTCCAGACATGGTGATTCTTCTGTAGTAAAATCAACGCCAGGTAAAACTAACCTGACTATCATACTTCCTTCTTCCAAAAGAGCTTGGACAGTCTCTGGGAAAATGAATTCTCCCAAAATTAGAAGTAGTGAAGCAGAATATCCCCATGGAGAAAAAAAAAACAGACCGTACATATCAGTCTCATCCCATCCTCCACCTCTTACCCCAAAATGTAAAATGGCAGAGTGTGTGTGAGGGAAAATTCTGTAGTATTTTCATAATGAGATACTTCAGGCATGAAAAATTTGGAAACAAACAAAAAGCCCTGAAGCCAATATGCACCTGTCTTTAACTCATAAGAGATGAGTCAACCTGATGATACACTACAGGACAAGTCAACAGAACCTGATAAACTTCAGCAGCTCAAGATGCAATGAGGTCTGCTGTGAACCTTCTGTCAAAGAAATTCCAACAGGATTTACATCTTAATGTAGAAATTTGTATTCAAGGATAAATTATTTCCTTTAAATTACTGAAAATGTAGCCCTTACAACTGGTAAGGAAATAAGGAAAAAATAAATTAGAAAATGTAATGGTGGTTTCAGTATGAAAGTCATTAACAATTAGCCCACCATTTTTTACATCTTCAACAGAAGACATACAAATGAAGCCAATGGTGCTCTTGGCGACATAGTTGAATGAACGTTTTAAATGCTATTAACAAAACTTATGAACCTTTTTGTGTTCATATATAATAAGGGCTTGCTTTGGTTTTAGTTTTTGATATTTTGGCATAACTGCTAAATAAACTGTATTTTGACGCATAAAGCAGGACCTACAGAACAAAATCCATCATTTCACCTATCCATAAGGTTATACATTCAAGAGAAACCTTGCACTTAGAATAAGGAATCTATTTTGAAATATATTTGAACAATAAAGTATTCTTTCAAGCCAAATTTCTCTTGATAAATTAGATCCAGCCTCCTCCATGCTTCTGAGCACCTATCAGCTGTCAGTTCCCACAAAGCCTTCTGCTTTTCTGTTCTTGGGCAACTTTCTACCTCCATTGCTGGTGCCCTTTTTCTCCCATCTCTTTGTAGATGGAATCAATTAGTCCTTCTGTATGCTCTGTTTGTGTTTTTTTTGCTGACTGCAGGCTGGGTGGTGATGGTATTGCTTGCTATCTCAGAGGAGCCTGCTCTTAAGGGCTATTCATAATGAGCAGACCAATTATTTCACCGTATTTTCTTTTGGAAGTTGTCTTTGTTAGTTTGTTTGGGTTTTCTTCCTCTAAATAGACTTGGTTCAGCAGAACAATTACATCTGCAACTTCAAGCATTTCTGTAGATCTAGTGCCACCCAATTTACACTGATTCTGCCTATCAAAACAAAAAGGAATAGTGAATCCTTCAAAATAAATCAATGTTTTTCTTTTTTTAAACAATATATACATCTCAGCATGTGTGTTATAGAGAAGAAAGTATTTGCCAATTACAAACCACCCATTTATCCACATTAGAGTACTGAAATAAGGGACACACCCTCAACACCTTCATATTTTTCTTCCTTTCCACAGTCATGGAGACTCTTTCATGGGCTTTGTTTATCATCTGTAATGCTTCATTAGATGCAACTGTTACTGAAATGGCCTCTGTTATTTGAAGCCATCCTCAGGTCATCACAGTGATTTGTTTCCTATTCTCTGAGACTTCCTCAGTTACTAGCTACGTATCAATCAATGTTAAGAAATTCAATTAAAAAGCACTAGCAGCACCTAGTGCCTTTTACTGAAGTTCCACTGTGCCATTTAGTCAGGCAGCAAGAAACAATGTACCGTTACTCCAGATACAGAATTAATTTCTAAAAGGTAATTAATCTAATACTTCTATTGAAATGTCTATACAACACTTTAATAAGGAACAACAAAGCAATTCCTTTGCATAAATATTTGCATTTTAACTTACCAGATCAGCAGATATTTCACAACACGTATCTTCTGTTGCAAATTTTGGATTACAATAGATTGTTAAGTGGTGAAGTTCAATCTATTAAGAGATATAAAACAGATTAATATGAGATGTAAAAATCATGAGTTACAGTACGCATTTTCTTATCTTGGTATAGTAAACCTTCTCTCTGAAACACTGCAAATTTCTTAAATGAAGTAAAAGAGACAAATCCATTAAAAGTACACACCTGCTCACTTAAGGACAAATTATGCAGTACGTTACTTTGATGTAAATCACATTTTATATTTAATTTATCTTCATTAAGTTGCATCCCTCTGTACTGCTCTTGCTATGCTACACAGGCATTTGAGCCCTCTAGATATCCTACACAAGACTTCTCAGGAAGGTAGTTTTCTCCTTCAGTGAACTAGAGTAAAGGTTTGATAAGCTCTATCTCGCGTCCATCTTCTATCACTTTGGACAAGACGTTTGCCTGGACCTTATCGCTATATCACCTGACAAGCAAAAATCACAAATTCTATACATAAAGCTTCTGTTTCAGAGATTTGGGGTGGACTGTGGAGATGAATGGCATTTAATTTTAACTAGATAATCTTGGCCTCCTATGCCTCTTTCTGTAGTTGGTTTGCATCCTTTGTTTCTCTCCATTGCACTTGGTTTTGAGAAGAATGACCTAGTACAGGAGCCTTCATCAGCTTTGTACCCATAATGTGTTCCTGCAAACTTGGAAATCCCAGTGGACAACTTCCACTCAGAATCATCCAGCCTTTGCCATGCAACCACCACAAGATAAAAAAAATCTGCTCCTCCTCCTACCTGCTACTTGGAAAGGAGGAGATGGTACATGCATTTCAAATAAAGTTGAATTCGATCTTAGAAAACAAAATAAAGCATAAGCTTGGACCCATGAAATAAGAGCTCCGTGTCCAGGGCAAAATATTCCATGCCTCACAGAACTTATTTCTCCCACAATGCTACCTTGCATTTACAATGTGCCATTTTCATCTGGAACTCTACAGTGTCCGTAACACAGCTGAAACTTTCAGATGGTCACTATAAACTCTGAGCCAGATGCTTTCAACATGGTAGCTGGATGTTAGCAGACTTAAACTGACATTCCTGGAGCTTTCAAATTAATTGCTGTGAGCTCTCTGAAGAAGGAAACAGAGGAGAACATCTCTGGGACACACCACCACCCACAATATTATGGGGTTGCCTTAGATAATTTTTGTACCAATGGCTGCAAGAAACATGCCTCCAGCCACTTCCTGAATCCCTCCCATTATGAGGAGAGACTGACAGCTATGAACAATGTGCCCCTATTCCTACATAGCTGAATTACCATGGAATGTGATACAATCTTGATAGAGAGGTAATCCTTAATATTTTTGTGTCTCCCCTTTACTAAAGAGAAAGCAAGTCTAACAGATGACTGACACAGAATTCTAAATAATCTCATAATAATTGAAAAAAAAATTACCACTGAAAATTATCTCTAAATGTAGTAATAATATGCCTACAGCAACTATGTGGCTCTTATTCCAAAGCAAATACAGAAGCACAGACTCCTGAAACCAGAACTGAGTTTTTTTAGTTACTTCGGTAACAGGTTTGCCTTAGCAAATACTATAACACTGACTATTGTTTAAAGAAAAAGACTTAAGGACTTCAAGAATACACACTCAGAATTAATAGCGAATTTTGAATCTTTTATCTACATAATTCTTTACAATTGTGTTAACAGAAGCATGGCTAAAACATGGTATCAAGTTATCTCATTTTCCTTTCACTACTCACATCTACAGGCTTATCATCTGCAGCACGAGAAGCAATCAGAGTCCTTCCCTGCAGGTCAATGTTGAATTTTTCATCAGTCTGCTTTCTCTCAATTAAATTACAATCCAAATATAGGGAAATGATCCCTGACTGGATGTTGATACCAAGTTTATGCCACTGACGATCAAACAATGGATAAATTTCTCGACTCTTAAAAGTGTAGTGCAGTATATTTCCCTGAGCAGATTTGGTCATATACTCCACAACCTTTTTTATACCATCCAGAAGGACAGAGATCTGAAAAGAAAAGAAAAGAAGTGGTCATTTAAAAGTTACAAATATAAGATTCAAACACATATATAAACTTTGTATAATAAAAATACTTCCAACTATATAGACTGGGCAAGAACTATGTTTTGAAGCTTTCTAATATTTAGCTTTGTAAATACGTATCAGCTACAAATCATAGGATGCCTATTATCCTTAGTTTGCAGTCTTGATTCATTTTGTTGCGTATTTGCCATTCCTATGATAAATGATCAATTATTTCAGAGCAGTCTTACTATTCTATATAAACTGTAGCTAAACCCAGTGGTGAAACATCCAAGTTTCTAAGTTATAATTGCCATTTTACATGGGAACAAAAAAGAAACTTAATGAAAAAAATAAATCAAAGATGACTCTAACCTCAGGTGTGTCATACTGATTTAAAACTTGCCATATATACCAACGCTCCTTCTTGGTATTTCGCCGTACACGGAACGTAGCAACTAGAGAGTATTCTTCAGGAAGCCCATTTGGAAATACTTGCCTACAAGAGGAGGGAGGGAAAAAAAGATTTCTTGTTATTCTTCTACACCCAAACGCTGCTTAAAATGAATATGCAGAAATAATACCTGGTGAAAACAAGGAGCCAAATGTTCATTCACATTCATAAAAATTGAGGGGCTTCAGCATTCAGAAGCATCTCTTCTCAGAAGTACAATTCAGTCTGTCTATAAGAATAAATGGCTGAAGATTTCGCTGATGAATTTTTTGTTTAACTTTTCTAACATCTGTGATTACTATAAATAGGCATTTTAAAAGAACTGCTGAAAAGTGAATGCCACACACAAACATATTTTAAAATACTGCTTTTCCCAATTTATTTCTTGGGATACTGGAAGAAGTTTCCCAGAGGATTTGTAGAATAATCCCTATCCTTGGAGACTTTCAAAACACAGCTGGAGCACGCTACTAATAACCTGATCTAACTTTCAAGTTGGTCCTGCTTTGAGCAGGAGGTTTGATTCAGCGACCTCCATTCCGACATCTTGAGTATCAGGACAGCTGGACTTGAGCAGACTTGGCCAAATATAAGGAATGCATTTCTGAATGAATTACTTGTTCTTGTTGGATTCCATTATTCCTTTCTTACCTAAAATATGTCCGTGCCTCTAAAACAATTCTGACTTGCTACCTGTCTGTGTCACAGAATGAAGTACACCACCACTTCTACAAGATATTTGAAAAGTTTGTATTTCAGAAGTGAAATTAGTCGGTAACTCAACTCTACAGACTTTGGAAATCATTAAATATACATTAATTCTGTACTAAAAAAATTAGGATGGTGCAAGCAACTTTTTTCTTTTGAAGCTCCTGCATTACACATTATTTCTTTTCTAAGACAGAGGGGAGATAAATGAAAACCACAGATGCAAATACTACACAACACACGAGTAGCTAAAGCATTAACGTTGCTGTTTACTGAAAACTGTCAGGAGTGCCCAACTAGCCACATTGCCAAAGGTATTCATTCCCTGGATCAGAGCAGAGGAAATCTGAGGGCCTCATGCAGAAGAAAAGCACCTTCCATTTTCCTTCCCATGATCATGTGAAGCAAACGGTTTGGTTCTAAAAAGCTAGAGTGGGATTATAATTACACAGTAATGTGCTATAAAGCCTTTACTAAAAAAAAAAAAAAAAAAAAAGGAGAAAAAAAAAGTGAAAGAAAAGAAGAAAAAGAGGGAAGCACCAGTTGACAAGACAATAATCCCATAACCCTCCTGAAAATTGGTGTACTTTTATTAATGGAGGATCTCAGGAAAAATGCCTTCTCTGTAGAGAAGACTATTCTAAATCCTGCCAAAGAGCTTCTTTGTAGACTAACACCTCCTTAAGTCCCTTATGTGGGAATCACACTTCTTTGGCTTATTTCCCACAGCTGATTCCTGTTATATCCCAGGACCAAATTGGCTGCTCTCCCACATTGTTAGTGGACCGATATGCTCTGTGTACAGCTATATATGTTTCAATGTCAAAAGACAAGGCAAAAGTGAGTAGGCTTTGCAAGACTTTGATCTAGATTTCATATTACTCTGTATTTTAATTACAGCATGAAGAACATGTTTTATGATCTATAAAGAAAATACTTTCATTAGGCATCAGTAATATATGAGTGCATTTCTGCAGAAAAGTAAATTATCTGGACATGGGATCAGCCCTGTGGTTTACAGCATCTCAGACAAGTTAAAGAAAGGGTATCTCATGTTTACAGCTGTAACCTAGACAGTGTATCCCTCCTTTGGCTTTGGGAGCACCTGATTAGCTCTTCAAAATCAATTAACTTTCCCAGCTATGTCCCATATTTGGAGAAATGGAGGAGTTTACACTAATGGGCAAAGGGCAAAAAACTGTGGAAGGAAAATGACCAGAAGGCTTCATCAAATGAAATGACAGGAAGCCATGATTGGTGCGATAAGTCAGCAAAACAAACAGAAGTATTTTTTGTACACGGTAGGTATTCTAGTAAATATGGTTTTATTTCTGTAAGCTTCCTTGACACTTTAAGAGCTATCTAAATGAAAGACAGGATTCATCTAAAATGCTCAGTATTTCTTTCAGAATTTTCTCAAAAAAATAAAAATGCCTGTGAACGCATGTGATAATAAATTATCTTCCTTAACTGTTTATCAAAGAATTTGGGAAACAGGACAAGAGGTATGGGTATGGGACAGCATTATGGAAATTGGCAGGAGTTTACTCTAGGCTACTCTAGTTCTTCCCTTACATTCAAGCTGATAGAGAAAACTGTATTAAGAGAAATAAGAAAAGCAGACAAGGTCAAATAAATTCCTAAGGCCATTATACTGATTTCAGCAAAGTTAGCTAAAGAGGTAAGATTTAAGTAAAATAGGACCAAGGATGAATTCAGTTAGATTCACAAAATAACTTAGGTAGGAAGGTACCTCTGGAGGTCAATGGATCTCACACCCTGCTCAAAGCAGGAGCAACCTGAAAATCGTATCAGGTTACTATAAATCTTGTCCAGCTGAGTTTTAAAAGTCTCCAAGAACGGAGATTATTCCACAATCCTCTGGAAAACTTGTTCCAGTGTCTGGCCAACAAACAGCACAAATTTGGTATACAATTACCGTATACTAAAGACATAACAGAAACATCTTTATTCTAAGAGGAGTTCTCATTAAGTATATGAACATTCCTTGGTGACCGAAAAGTCATTAAAAGATTCTTTAAAGTATACACTTAACATACAACCCTTCCAGTCATACGGTGAGTGCTAAAAGGAAAGAAGTGAAAGGATGAGATGGTCTGAAAACTATCATACCATCTATTATTATACACAATTTCCTCTATGCTCTTGCTCCTGAATGGCTTCAAGTGAATGTTATAGAATAAAAAGCATCCATCTAGCAGTGAATTGTACAGATGATCAGTAAGATACCACACTAAAATTTCAGTATTACCTACCATGGTATCTTCTAGTCCACAAACGTCAATCAAAAACTCCTCTGAAGCAGGCAAAGTATGTATGTATGTTAATAAATATATAAGGACACTTGGAGGCAGGGGAAAGGGGAAGCCAGAACAGAATGTGAACATTAAAGCTCATGTTGGAACAAGAGAAAAGCCAAAACAAAATTTTGCAGAATACTGAATCTGAAGTTCAGTTCTTCAAATACTTAATATATACTGTTTCTACTGATCACATCTACCAACATTTAAAATAAATGAGAAAACTAAAAAGACAACATATGCAGGGTAAAAAGAGTAAAGAATTTTCATTAAATGGTAATGAGAAGTACAAAAGTAAGTTGTTCCACATGTCCACAGCTCAACAGATACTTCCTCACAAGCTCAACAAGTACTTTCATTACACAGAATATTTACCCTGTCCACGGCCCAGGGAAAATAAAAAACAATACAAAAAGGAGAGAGAATAAGGATGAAGGAAACTTGTACCTAGTTAACCTCAAAGTCTACAAACGTAAAGCACAAATATAGAGGGTAGTACATCATGGTATCAGCCAGAAAGCCGTAAGAGAGATGAGAGGTCTCAAGAAAGCCCTAACATTACAGAAATATGAATAGCAATTAGCAAGGGTGAAAATTAATCTATAAAGATGACAAGCAAGAACTTACAAGTTAGAACAGACAAGCAAATAAAGGGTATCCGTGGCATCTGATCCCTGAACCAGTGCATGCTTGTGATTTTGGACAGAAGTGCTTGAACCAAAAGACATAATTAGACCTGTGAGTAAAAACATCAGTCTGAGATTTTCCTCTTCCTGGAAATACCCTCAACAGTGGGACATCAGTCAAGTTCTCCCATTCGTGTTGAGCTTCCTTAGCTTAAGACAATCCAAACCAGACATCTGTCCTGGATGACCGGTCTAACCTTTTTAAGGCTATTGAAAAGATCCTTTCTCCCTCTTCCACACTGGAAATGCTCATGACTGCTGTGTTTGCATTGAATTCAATGCTGTCCAAGCTTATTAAATGCTATTTAAGCACAGTCAATGGCTTAGGCACCTCTGGGAACATAGGCAGCTTCAGGCACACCTCTACATCTTTGAGTTACAATGAAACTTAGGTGGGAGTTACATGCCTGGCTGCTTTATGCCATGGTGCTTCCAAGCTTCCCTGGAACTAATGCCCAGATGCCAGAGGAAATCTGTTGTCCAAAATTATTCATTTTAGGTGCCATGAGGAATTAGGTGGTGCTTGAGAGTGGGCCATTTGACTCATACCCTGAGAATCAGGTGCACAAAGTCTGGCTAAATTATACTTTAGGTGGAATTTAGTTTGATTTTCTCCCTCTGTTTCCAGTAGTATATAATAAAAAATTAAAGTGGATGAACAGAGAGCAGTGTTCACACTGAAGTGCACAGAAGTGAATCACACCCTTGGTGGAAACTGCTGAAAACAATAGCAGGAATTGAAGCACATGACTGAACACACAGGCTTGAATTTACACCACCCTAGCCTGCTGGATTGACGTGTACTGTAAATTACAGAGGGACTGTAAAATAAATAAATTACAATATGCTTACAAGCTAGCAGATTGAGGAGACCAATGACAACAAGCAGGAAAATCCTTAACAATACAAGGCTTTAGATCATACATATACGTGTTACAAATCCAGACATTCAGGTATCTCTTAATGTTACACACCATAAGGCAGATGCATCCAGAATGTTGATATGCACTTATATTCCTGCTACAACTATGTGCGACTCTATCAAAGTATAAGTATGCTCAGAGTTGCAAAGGCTTTGTTATATTTTCCTCTTTCTCTTTTACTTCATTAAACATAGACATCATTTTTTCCTAAGAACAGGTTCTGTGGCCCAGACACACCATAGGCTGTGTATTATGAGGTTACTAGAAGAGCAGTTACAGGAATTTTGCATGAACTTCACAAATGGTTCCGTTCATATCTCTCACTGTTTGTAATGATCAAGTATAGACTGATTTTTGGCAAAATATTTGCTTATTCATTTGTTTCCTCAAAAGTTATGAAAATTTTG